GCTGATCGACAGGCGAAGTTAGGGAAGGTGGCCTTGCAGCCGAGCTCTTTGCAAAGAGCTTTGGCCTTGTCCAGACCTGAGCTGCAGCGGGATCACGCAGCTCCGTCGAGTGCCCTGGCTGTTGAGCCCGGCACCCACAACTCTGGCCAGGTACATCTGAGTATGAAAGTTGGGCTTCACTTTGCCTGGGCGACAAGCGAAGGCTGGAGGAGGAGGGCCAACCTGATTCTCTACCTAGTTATCCATCTGGAAGCAGTGCGCGGGTATCATATACAGATTTTGATGCAGATACAGATCTTGATATGGATACAGATACAGATATAGATAACAGATACAGAGATAGATAGAGGCACAGATGCTTTTGCAGGGAGCACAACCCCAAGCCCTAACTGTTCACCCATATCATGACACCTTGAGACCAAATCCAAGACGTAGGCTTCCAGCCTTCAGTATACCAAGCAAGTAGCCCGCCCTTCATCAACCTTTGATAGCACAGTTCAGGCAGCACCCTCTGAGTGCTGGTCACTGCGACATGTGTCTGAAAACATCCTCTGCCTGCCTCCGTACAATAGATTCACAATCGGATTGTGGAGGAAAGGACGGGATGCTGCGGTGAGCTTGATCTCAATTGTGTTTGAGGTTGAAGCCTTGGCTATCCAGGGCCTGGGAGGTGGGAGCAGGCATTTGGAATATTTCTCTCCCGGGTGTCGAGTGCAGCATGGTGTGAAATTGCACCACGACATGTTTGGATATGTTCATCGAAGCAAAGCCTGGATTGGACTGGCACAACTGAAAAAGCGCGAATGCAAGAATTGCTACAAGTAGCAGACAGCAGAGGCATTCAGATGACAAATGCTCAAAGACTCTTCAACGTTCCACGTTGTACCAACTGCTACACTGTCGCGAGGTCGTAGCAATATTGAGAAAGTCTTGCTGAGCCCTTTGGCCTCTCTACCAACCCTTTGCGACCTCACCATCCTCGGCTTGGACCGGATCATGGACTGCAAGAGGAAGTTGTAGGTGACCTTGGCAGGGCGAGAGCCTTGCTAAGGCTTCGCACTCTGGTTTATAAAGTTACGTAAAGCAGGCCGGCTTCAACCCTTGGGCTTCTTCCACCTGCCACCCACCTAAACCTGCCTACCTGCCTGCCTACTTTCCCACCTAGCTAGCTACGCACCTGCTTGCCCACCTGCATGCAGGTTTTTGCATTGTGTTGAAATCTACCTGTCTAGACATCCAGTTAGACCGTTTTGCGAATCTGCTAAGCCTTCCCTACACACATCTGTACGAACTACGCATATCTGCGAGTCTCTGCATCTCGGCATCTGTGATTGGAAGTGTAAACTCCACCTGTCGCAACGCACAGGTACAAGTCGAAACCCACGTCTATGCCTATGTGTGCGTTCCAACGCGCATATGTCTGCATGGTGCATCCAAGCCTACATGCTATACCTACAAACATGCATCCGTGCATACGTGCACACCTACACACCTACGCACACCATGCACGCATGCAAGTATACGTGCATGCATGTATACGTGCATACATACATACATACATACATACACATTAACCGTCTAACAGTCGTCTAACTGTATCAAAATTAACAGTGATAGTGGCTATCTCTATATATATATATATAGATATGTATGTGTGTATATACGGATGTTGAAGCATTCAATACCTTGAACTCTTGTTAAAGCAAGCCACAATCCGTCACTGTCCCAGCACCCCAAACTCCCCCCGCAACCCTTAACCCCCCAAGCCTGAAGCTGTTGCTTGCCTGAGACCCTGGCAACCGTGGGCCAAACGCCCTCGGAGAGCATCCTGATGGCGATCTACGGGTACCAGTACTAATCATATTAATAGCAGACCATTGCAAACGCTAAAACTGAGCACGGTCATCATGATAGCAGCAACAACAATGATGAAGGTAGTCACGATAGCAATATGCATGACCATCATAGCCACGTTAGTAGCAGCGCGGACCATGATCATCAGAATCCTAATGTCAATTCTGATGACAACAGACGCAGAAGAAAGATGGCAGTCGCAGAATAGATAAGATGGACAGAAGAAAGAACAACAATGTCACAACACAAACCAGCATAAATGAGAGCATCTGATGATGGTAAGGATTTATATGCGCTAGTTAGGATGTTAGCAATAGTGAACTACACTTCAAACTAGATGCAGCACCCTAGTCACTAGCCTGTACAAAAAACGCCAACCTCTGTTTGCACGCGCTCCAGGAAGAAGGGTCGTGCAATTGCGAATGCAGGCATATTATTGCACGCATTTAAGAGTTATTAGTTTGAGAATTGCGGCCAGGGCTTCGGGAGGAGGTTTGCAATTTCGGGACGGAGACATGAAGCTTTCGTGGTGTCACTTCTCGAGATGTTGGCCCGGATTTGCAACTTCTTGCGCCTCACAAGAGGCTCAGCTCTGTCCGACTTGGAATAGTGAATAATGCCGCCACCACCCGAAATCCCAACTTGTCAGCTCACTGTAGCCGTAGAGTGTGTAGAGTCACCTGAATCCCTCCCCATGCCCTTCGACAGCGGTCCTCGCAAACAGCTGATACTCTCGAAGACCGGGACTAGGGTTCGTGAACGATTGCGCGCCTGAAAGAAGCTGGGATGAATAGAACCCTGGTTCAACCTCGGTCAAACATACGATTTGCCTGCCAAGTTTCACTGAAATGCAGATCTAAACTCTTCAAGCTCCGTTTGGACCGTGTCTTGACAAGCTTGACGCACCATCAAACACCATAAAAGCGCCGAAGCCAAACAGAGATGAGTGCTTTAGTGTGTGTTTGTCAATAATACACACGAGAGTATCTCAATCTCTCACACAAGTACTATGTAAGGGACCTCTTCTTGTGAACCCGAGGTTTGATGGAAAACAACACACGGCAAAGCTGGGCTGGCCGCAGTTATATATATATATATATATACATATACATATATATATATATGTCACACCAGGCCAGAGACTGGTTCTTGCTGTCTGCGCTTGCTGTCTGCATCTGACGAAACTGGCTAAGGTAGCTGGCTCGTGTTTGGGCTTGCGTCGAATGGTTCGCTTGCCAACAAAATGTCATGGTCGCAGCTATGTATGTACATGCACCTGCATGTGTCTACATACATGGGTCTGTAGGTCTGTATATATATATATATACATATATATACATGGATATGTAGATATACATAGATATATACACATACACAGGAAGATAGATATATATATATATATATACATATATACATATATATATATATATATAAATAAATATATGCTAGCCCCCCCCCCCCAAGACCAACCCTGAATTCCCTAAATTCCAGAATTCCCTACCCATTGGGTTTAGGGAATTCCCGATTTCCCTAAATTCCCTAAATTCCCTAAATTCTCTAATTCCCTAAATTCCGTAATTCCCTACCCCATGTGTTGGATTCAGGGAATTCCCTATTTCCCTAAATTCCCAAGGTCTGACCCCCATGGATAAGATTCAATGGTTTCCGTTCATGGGTACAGGGAATTTAAGGAAGTTAGGGAATTTAGGGAATTTAGGGAAACAGGGAATTCCCTAAATCCAACACACGGGGTAAGGACTTAGGGAATTTAGGGAATTTAGGGAATTAGGGAATTCCCTGTAAGGGTTAGGTTTAGGGAATTTAGAGAATTTAGGGAATTTAGGGAATTTAGGGAATTAGGGAATTCCCTAAGTCCAACAGATGGGGTAGGGAATTAGGGAATTTAAGGAATTAGGGAATTTAGGGAATTTGTGGAATTTAAGGAATTCCTTAAATCCAACACATGGTCCTGGCTGGGAGTCAGGAAAGTTAGGGAATGCGCTAAAACCAACACATGGGGCTGGATATTAGGGCATGTAAAGACTTTAGGGATTTAGGGAGTCTGCAGGAACTCACGCATTCTGTAAATTCGAGGCATGGAAGCAGTGATTAGAGAATTTAGGGAACTCGACCTCGCGACGTCGCCGGTTGACGGGACTGTGCAACTGATACTTGTAGTACTATTGATATTATTTTGAAAACTTTGAAAACTATAATACTCGTACGAGTACTAATACTTATAGTCATACTACTGGTGAAACTGATAGAAATGCTAGTATGAATACTGATGTTCCCAAGAATACTAGAAATCATGTACATTGTAAGAATAGTCTTGATGCGAATACTAATATACATACTATAGCTAGTATTATCGCTAGTATGAATATTGGCTACGCATATTCGTGAAATTACTCATTTTCGGAGTACTCATAGTCATGCTAATATTAGCATTCAGGCTAGTGCAAACGTGCATAATAAAATGCTCATACATGAATGTTAGCATTCGTATTTATATCAGCATTGGTATGTTTTTCAGTAGTACTAGTAACTCATACGAAGAGAAACCTCAAGTTTCATATTCCGACGAATACCAACGCATGTTTTGTTCATACTAATTTTAATTCTACTACCAGTATCTACTCCTAGTATTGAAAAAACTGTACCAATACCAATTTTGGAATTGATGTGAACACGAACTTTCATGTTCTGCCAATACTAATATGCATAGTAATATTAGTCAGCATTAATGTATAGGAAAACTAATGTTCTTACGAATACTAATAATCATGTTCCCTTTATATTCATATAAGAATCGTCATGCCTAGGTACGTACTAATGCTAGTACTCATGCTAATACGAGTATTAATACCAATACAAGCATAGGTATGAATATTCCTACGGGTATTTATGCTCATGTTCTTAACAAAATTATTTTCAGCACGAATACCGACACTAATAGTCTCTTTAGAACAATATTGATATCAATATGAACACTAATGCTTCGGCTAGTACGAACATGCATAATACTAGTAAAATTATTTGTGCTCATACAAATATAGAAAGATTATTACATACTCATATTGTAATGAAGTAATGAAAGTGATGACAGCAGGATGCCGAAGTCCTCGCTGCCGATGTGGCACACCTTAGGCGTCCATCCAGACGCGCGCGACTGCCCGCAGTGCAGTGAGCGCCGATCGCTCCCACTCAGCAGCCGTCTTCCTCAGCGTTGCACAGCGCTGCCTCGCAGAGCCCGTAGCCAGATGCACAGCTTGCTGTCTAGCCGCATCATCGGCCAAAGTGTTCAGTCTCCGCGTGTGACGGACACCACCAGAAGCGAACGTCAAACCGATCACGGAGACGGCCACGAAGGGCAGTGAAGAAGCTGGCCATGATGCGCTCGAGCCCTCCACCATCCGCAACCTGCAGAGCGGCCTTGCAATCAGAGATCACGTGCAGGGCGCCCGGACCCCTGCAAAGGTCCAGAGCGCGAAGGAGGGCAAGAAGACCCTCGAGCTCAGCGCGATGCGGAGTCTGATCTTCAGCTCTAACACCCTGAGCAAAGCGCTGCTCATCCTCAAACACCAGGGACCACGACGCCACAGTGTCGACAACGCTACCATCGGTGGCGACAAACAGCACGGAGTCCGAGGAAGTCGCCAACTTCTCGTCGATGGCTGCCGCAATGTCTTGGATGTAGTCCTGGTATATAGTCCACCACGCAGGGAGGCCTCGGAGTCTCAGGAACACTTCGAGCAAAAAGACGCTCCTCAAGCCGCGTGGGAGGGTCCTCCAAACCAGCTCGGAACTCGGCCGTGCGTGGGCACGCCCACATCAAGTGTGGCCTTGACGGCTGTCGCAGCCCACACAAGCACCGAATCTGCGAAGCAGCAGGAAGGGAACTGGTGTAGTCCCGCTTCACCTTGTACCACGAGGAGCAGCCACCAGCCAAAGCAGTAGCCCTGTCCACAGAGTCACGAGCCCTTTTCCAAGCCTTCACATGCCCTTGAAAGAGGCACAACGACTCGGGAGGAGGCCCTGGCAGGTCGAGACCTTGCGCCAAATCCGGCTGAGGATCACGATGAAGCGACCTGCAAACACGACTGCAAGAGGCAAGCCGCAGTCTACGATGCACATCGCGAAGCCACTCAAGGATAACCTCTCTGTTGTCAACGCCCAACTGAAACTGGCGAAGATCACCGACCGAGTCGCGCCGGAAAAGGTGCGTGCCAGCCGGATTGGTCCACCAACCTAAGGCCCTGAGCACCTCGTTGGTGACAGGCAACAAGTCGTACCACTTTCTGCAGACAAAGGTGAGCGGGGCGTCCTCAATCCAGTCAAGAGAAGTGGACGCCAAGCGAATGGCCTCAGCCAAAGCAGACTTCTGGTAAGCGAAAGAAGGCCAAGCATCCCAACCAGCCACCTCGCACAAGACCACCCTGGCAGCATCGGCGACATTGCGAGTGCCCAACAGCCACGTGGCCTCGTTGTTGAGCTTGACAAGGTCCTCCTCCTCGACGCGGCGTAACCACCAGCCCAGAAGGCCATGGGGAGAACCAAAGAGCGGAACATGAGCTGCTTAAGCTCCAGTGCTGCCGGCGTGACCCCGATGAAGTGGATCAAGCGCCTCGCCCTCGAAAGCTCGAAGCGGCCCACCACCGGAACCTGACCAGCGTGCAAGGTGATGCGGATGCCCAAGAGGTCCAGGAAGTCGTGGGCCTCGTAATTGAAAGAGGCTGCCAAAGCGGCACCAGCCTCGCTGCCAGCTCGAATCCCCACCCGGCTCTTGGTACGATCACAGTCAAAGTCGTAGGCAGCATCGAAGGCATGACTTCGACTCATGGCTCCGCTGATGTCTCAAGACATCAGCGGAAGCGCACCACACCAGACGATCATCCACGAAGGACACCGTGCGCACAGCGCCAGGAGTGGAGTTGCCAGTGCCTTCGACGCAGATACTCCACGTAGCCATCACAGTGGCGACGAGAACAGGACTAAGGGGGCACCCCTGAGCAATCCCCGATGTGATGCGCCTCCAACGCTTGCCACATGTGCCCATGTAGGAGAAGACCCGGAAGTGTGAGTCGTAGAAGCCACGCACCAAATCCCGCAAAGTGCTGGGGGCACCGAAGCGCTCCAAAGTGAGGAGCAACTGAGGCACCTGCACGCTGTCAAAGAACTTGCTTAGGTCCTGTTGCACGTAGCAATTCTCGTCGCAGTCCAGCGATTCCAACACCTGCAGGTAGACGTCACGTGTGGACCGACGACTGACTCCGCCCAGTGTGCGGCAGCTGGCCCACGAAGTAGTCCAACCCCTCAGAGACATGGCAACCGCCTTAGCTCCGATGCGCCAGGCCACGTTAAGCACCGTGAGAGGTCTCATCCCATGGCTGGGTTTAGGAATGAGAACGACTTGGCCTTCAGACCAGCGAGCCGGGACGACGCCACAGGCAAGAACTTGCAGCCAAAGTCTAGACAGGGAGCACCAAAACCCATCTGGCAGCAAGAGCCAGTCCTCGATGCGCCAAGAGTCGGGCCCCGCAGCCTTACCCTTCATAGACATGGCCACCCGCCGGAGAGCAGCACCAGACAGATCAGGCAGCCACTCCTGAAACATGGGGAGAGCCGGCACAGCAGACAAAAGGTTAGAGACCGCATCACAGCCATGCGAGGAAGGCTTGCGGCCCCACTTGTCCATCCACACATGCTCAGCCTCGTCAACGATCCGAACCGGATGAATGGCTTGCGCCAAAACACCAGAGGTGGCCGCAGGAACAGGGCGCTTAAGATCAGCATCATCCCGAGCACGATGCTTCACCCAAGCGCGAAGTAAACCAGGATCGTCATGCATGCGAGCGCGCCACTGGCTCATTGCATGCTCGCGGCTCGTCGTCTCAGGCTCAGCGACGAGGTTAGCAACAAAGTCGACACCAGACTCCGGAGCTCGGCCACGAAGCGCAGAAAGCTGAGGCACAGAAAGGGTCATCCTCTGCAGTTGTCGTTGAACGACTGCTCGAATCAATATGCTCGTTTGTAGGGTTGGATCCGCGGGGGCTGGATCAGTGGGCTTGGCAAAAACCAAAGTTATCAAAATCAGAAGTCAACCTGAACAAAGACTTATTGGATACGTTACGACACGGTAGGTTTGTCCAGAATTAATGTAACTGGAGATTTGCAGACACTGAAAATTGTTGAGAAAACCATGAAAAAATGTAGTATTATTTCTGTCCAAGCCGGTGTGTGAACAGAGCAACCGGAAGCTGTGCCATTCCAGTGACTCCTTGCACCGACATTGGCACGTCGGGCAAGGTCACACTAGATGGCTGGCCTTTGTGTCCCCAAGCAAGGAAACTTGATGGCTCTTCGGGTGAGAGCCCGGCAACACCAACAGGTTTTCGCAAGGCTGAGGACGTCTGTGCAAGAGCCGGCAGAAGCTGCAAAGGTGTGACTCCCAAATTGTCAACAAGAAATTGTTCCTCAAGTGTGTTCACTTGTGCCATGCCACTGACCCCTTGCACCGACATGGGCACATCGGGCAAGGTCACAGTGGATGGCATCTATTGTTTCCTCACACTGCTCAGAACAACCTGTCAACTTAAACAGGTTGCTGCAAGGTTGAGGAAATCTTGAGTCAGCATGGCATTGCTTGGCAAGGTTGACGATTCGAATTGAGGAAATCTTGAGGAATCCTCCTCAAGTGGGGCAAAGAAGGCAAGAACGACGTCCAAGGCCCTGATTTGCCGGCGCATACTCATTCACTGAAAGAGCCATATCAATTCTGTTCCTCCAAGTGTGTTCACTGAGACAGCCACATCGACATAAGGCTGCAAGCAAATCAGACTTGTGTCTCAATTGTTATGCAACCTTCTCATCAGTCATCGCACTGTTTTACCTGTGTTGCTGCATGGCCTGCTGTTGCTGTTGTGTCACAGCATTCACACCCCAAAAACCAGTCACAGCAGATTGGCTTGAATAATAAAAAGCATGCAGCTCAGTAAGCTATGAAACGTATTTTGGCTGACGAAGCGGATCGTCACAATAGATTCCGGACAATCTGCGCAACTGCTTCCCCGAACATCGAAGTGTATTCCCCACTAGCCTGTACATCTGCTGGCACACCGGTGAAACGGCCGTCTTCGCCTCGGTTTACCAGACCAATGAAAGCATTATGATCTGGTTTGGGCCTGGCCAGGTTCTCAAAATGAAACCCAGGCAAATGCCACAGTTGCAAGGGCTTCACTGACTTTCCGTTAAAGGCACCCATGTAGGTGCAAGTCTTTTCGAAGCCACAAAAGGATAGAACTGTTTTGACACACTCGAGGTGCGGCATACAGGAGCTGAGGGGCTGTTCCACCACAGGGCAGCACTCACATGCCCATCCCAGGAAAATCCCAAGTGAGCAAACAAGGGCCTGACAATTTCCCTGCAATACAAAGTCCCGCTCAGTCCATGCGCCTTCCCAGCCGTTGCTTTCAGCACGTTGGGAACGAAATGAGCACATAATGACAAAAGAAGAGCACGGAGTGCCCCACCAATGCAAAGCCTTCTTCTCACACGCTGTGGCTGCATCCAGAAACAAACGCAACCCTTTCGCTAGCAACATGTTGTGTTCGTCATTGTAGAGTATGTCAAAGCTGCACCCACGGAGACCGGATTCGATCAATTTCTTCGAAAGTTTGGCGCTCCCTGCATAGTATTCAATGTATTGCAGCAACCCCGCACATTGATGGGGTCCCACATCGATTGAAGCTGCTTCAATCTTGGCTCTGTTGTCATAGCTACGGCTAATGATGCACATCAGCTGACACTCGATGGTTCGGTTCTTCAATGCGGGATAAGCCAATCCAATCAGCCCATGCCATTTCATGGCCACTCTGCCCACATTGAAGTCCTGGTCGTAGCGCAAGAAATTTTGCACCAAAATCCTTGCAACCATGAGCCTGTGACACCAAGGCTCTGTGGACCTGGCCAGCAAGATCAATTGAGGATGATGATAAGTTTATGTAGTATTACATTAATTAATGAAAAATTCAAATTATAACAAAATCTGTGACCCATAACACTTTGAACAGACTCCGGCCTTGGGGAGAAAGACAAGGAAGCAAACGGAAGGAAATGCGAACATTGCAATCGCGATGTTTGCTCGAAGACGTCCTCTACCCAAGTGTCAAACCGATCATCAATTTCATCAGTTCCTGTAACTGTATCGGTAAAATTCAAGGCAGGAAGAGTACACGGGCGCTCCACTGATCTACCTCCCAACTCAAATGACTCTGCAGCATTCTTTTTCCTTTTGCATTTCTTGCGTGCTGGCTTCACAGGCCCAGCACTACCACTGAAGACCAGCGATGATCCCAGCACATGCTGGCACGGCCACTGGAAATTGGACATGTTGGTGATTCACTGACATCAATACATTGATTTGTTGTCCCACATAACTTTAAACCATACCTCTGGTCCAACTTGAGCAACAAATGGATTCAATGCTTGCCTGGCATATCAAGCACATTCCACAAACTAACAGGACACAATGTCAGGAAGGCTTGTTTTTGCTGATCGCTTTCTCCCCGAGCAATCTGCAGCATAACTATGGTGAGACTTCATGATTCATGTCATGTCATCTTCAATTGCACACTTCAGGCATTCAGCAACTGTAATTGCAACGTAACTGTAAAGACTCAATCACAGAATGAACAGCAACTGCGCACAAGCTGAAGCCAAAATTGTGAATCGAACATGTTGCCGCTATGACAGCAGGAGCAGATTCACACACATTGGACTCGGCTGGATGAACTCACTCCCTGTGACTTCTTGAATCGACCGAAGACTTGAAGCTAAGAACACGATACTTGCATACATGACATTGACAGCAATCTGCTACCTGCTGACATGTTTTCCCCTGTGATGTATTTATCACAAAAAAACTGAAGAGGCTACTTGGCATACTTTGTAGGCGAAGGCATTGCGTCGATAATCGGGGCAAGGCGTTCCAGGACAGCCTCAGGGATAGTACCAGGCTGACAATGAGGCGGCAGTTGCCTTTCGGGTTTGGCCTTCTCCCACTCTGTCCATGCCCAGCGATGCACTTGAGCCAGTGCTTGCTTCCAGTCTGATCTGTCGTTAGCAAAGCTTTTGCTGCAAGACTTTTTCCCCTCACTTGACACATACTGTTTTGTCATGATCTCGGCTTTGAAGCGATGATCGTTGAAGCTGAGACGCAACTTGAAGTCTTCGGGTGGATCCAACTCCGACAGGAAGTCGGGAGTGTTATTCAAGTGTGGACCATGCTCGCGCGGAGCACGTTGCGATGCCTGGCCACGATGTGCAGCATCATCAAGGACCTGCTCAGGGGCTGATCCGCTCGAGGACGAGGCCTGTGCCATTCCACTGTCCCTTGGCCCGGATATTGGATCCGGCAAGGTCCCATTGGATGGCTGTGCTTGCACTTTTGTTTCCTCGTGTGCGACCCCGGCACCACCAAGCACAGAGTGTGGACGGGAAGCATCGACACAGGGCTCCTCCGCCGGGGGGGCGGGCTCTCCTTCACCAGTGTGTGGACTGGGAGGATGGGCGCAAGGCTCCGGTGAGGGGGCGGGCTCTCTTGGACTGGGAGCATGGACACAAGGCTCTGCCGGCAATGAATCAGGAGTTGTTCGATCGTCCATGACATTCATGTCCAACAGCTGGCTTTCCAACTCCTCTTTGAGTTCAGAGATATCTGGATCTTCTTCCACTGCTGGTCCGGGCATTTGTTCGAGCACCTGCTCCTTGCGTTTTCGTGACGCTGCTTGCCTGCGAGCCAGCCCTTGCAAGCCCAAAGCTGTGCCTCTTCCAAACCCATTGCCTTTTCCACGGCCTTTGCCTTTTCCTTTGCCCTTGCCTTTGCATTTTGCTTTGGCACACGGTTTTGACTTTGCTTTGGCTTTTGCCACAGCTCTCCTCGCTCTTTTGGCCTGCAATCGAATCACAATTGAGTCACAATTGAGTCACATTTGAATCACAACAATTGAGTCTAAGCCTAGCTCAGAAACTCACTGGAAGGTCTTGCCAGGGTGCCTTTTGTTCTGCAACCTTCTCATCCCACATGTTTTGCCAACGTTGTTGCTCGGCCTGCTGTTCCTGTCGCATCAGGGCTTTCTCCAAGTCCTGGAAATCCTGTTTATCTGAGGGCTCCATGTTGTCCAACAATGCTGATAGAAAACCATCAGGCATATCTGCATCAGGAGCCTTCTGAGTGTCTGACTCTGCAGCTTCACGGCAAGCTTCTGCAAACTCTTCTCCGAAACACTCCTGACACTGTTTCAACAACTCCTTCTTGGAATTCTTGTGGGGTTGTGTCACATTCAAGTAGTCCGCCATCAATGTCAACTCCGCAAAGGTCCTTTTGTGCCCGGAGCGCAAAGTGTTTTGCACAAGTGGTTCCCAACCACACGTGGCTTTGAAATAGAGTCCTGCCTGTGTTGACAATTTCGGAGTGGCTTCACATGCTTCCCATTCCTCAGGGTTGTGAAGGAACTGCCATGAGCAACCGGCCTCCACTTGCAACTGCCAGCCCGAGCACCTGCCGCCCTCATGAACTTCGGACAACCGCCATGCCAACACTGCCCATTTGAAGGATCCCAGAACAATGTAGGTCTCTTCCACATTGCGCAAAGTAATGATTTGCCCAAACTGGGCAAACACAGCCCACAAGCCGTCCTCAGGAACATGTTGTTCTTAGAACAGAGCTATTCAATCACAGACCGCTACTTTGCTGATTCACCCCAGGCCTTCAATTTCACGTTCTGCGTGCTCAAGTTGTTCTGCGAATAGTAGCGCAGGAAGGACCATGATGCTGCAGAAACAATCAATTGTTGTTCAGAAATGGTGTCC